AAAATGTAATTTTAACGTACACATCTTTGCACAAGTATAGAGTTATAAGTGATTTTTTATTTTTTCTTTCCTTACATGCATTTTCTACTTTTTTCTACAATGAACTTTTGAAAACGACAAAATCATGTCACCTTCCTGCTAAAAACCCTACAAATGCCCCCACTTTGGACTCTGGTCCAAATTGCTTAGGACTCCAAGAACCTTCATGAAGGGTCTTGGCCTCTCTCCTCATACCCCCACCCAAATCTCACACATTGAGTTCATGAGGACTGACTCTTTTTCACCTCAGTTCTCTCTGCCCAGCACGTCCCGCCCACCGTTCCAGGGACCCAGCAGCAAAGCCCCCTAGCCCCGCCCCAAGCAGCCACAGCAGGGCCTCCGGCGGGTTGGCCGGGTTCCGCCGGGAGGAAATGCGCACGGAGACTTCGAAGGCCCCGGTCCACCGCGTGACCGCGCCACGAGCCTGCGCGCAGGGACAGACTGGGAGCCCCCGGGCGGCGAACAGGGGCCGGGCGGTAGCGTCCGAGTGACACAGGAGCTTCTGGGCTCTGAGAATGGGGTCCTGCGGGGCTGTCTCTGTGGCCGGACCGGGCTGAGGCTCCAGGCAGGACCCGCCCCGACCTCACCTTGGCGCTGCTCACGAAACGGACTTCCACGGAGAACCGGGCGTGGCCCGCCACGCCCACGCAGAAGGAGAACACGTCGCACATGGAGGCCGCCATCTTGGGCGCGCCTCCGCCTTAAGACCCTTAACCCCGCCTCGACCTGAGAGGCCCCACCCCTTTCTGGCCCCGCCCCCGGCGTGAGTGTCCCTGAGTCTGCGAGGTTTTGCGCTCCAGCGAGTGTGAATTTAGGTCCTGTCGTTCGTTGATGGGAGTGCAGCTGGGCCTGTCTTTGTGTTTTTACATCGGTACCTTTTTGTCTGTACCTCTGCATCAGAGTCTGTGTGCGCGTACATAGTTTTGATGTATCTGTGAGTCCATTGCATGTTTTTCTTTCTTTTTTTTTTTTTTTTTGGAGACAGTCTTACTCTGTCGCCCAGACTGGGTGCAGTGGCGCGATCTCGGCTCACTGCAACCCTCTGCCTCCCAGGTTCAAGTGATTCTCCTGCCTTAGCCTCCCTAGGAGCTGGGAGTACAGGCGTGTGACACTAAGCCCAGCTAATTTTTGTATTTTTAGTAGAGGCAGGGTTTCACCTTGTTGGCCAGGCTGGTCTCGAACTCCTGACCTCGTGATCCGCCTGTCTCGGCTTCCCAAAGTGTTTCCGATGCATGTTTCTATGTCTGTTGTCTCTGGCCACACAGTGGCCTGTCTTCACTGAGTAAAGCGCTCTTTGGACTCAGCCCTCGAGTGAGACAGCAGAAGGTCAACTTACTCCTATCCTCTCTGCCTCTCAGCCTGAAGGGAAGGACTAGCCTATATCCCGGAGCTCGCTCACTCCACTTGAGTTCAGACAAGATTTTATTTCCCGGTAATCCCTCTGGCAGCAGGGCAGACAGTCCCTCCAAGGGTCAGGGTGGACTTGTGCCTCTCACATTCTTCAATGGCTTAGGGACCTTGCAACCTGCGGGTAGTGGAGGAGTCCATAGTGGACCTCAGGTTTGAGAACCTCTGAAACTGGATACATAAGTGAGTGTACATATGCACACTGTCATGAAAAGGGGGAGTGGCCTGCTTTCTCATTCAGGACCCCTAAAAGCTGCAAACCACAGACCTATGGCATCTGCCCTCACAGCTGGGCCTGACCATCAAGCCTTGTTTTGTTTCCTTGTACCTTGATTTTGTGTGTTTTGTTTGAGACAGAGTCTCACTTTTGTCACCCACACTGGCATGGGGCAATCTCGACTCACTGCAGTCTCCAGATCCCGGGTTCAATAACAGACTGGGCAATGTAGTGAGACCCTCATCTTTACAAAAAATAGAAAAATTAGCCAGGCATGGTGGTGCGTCCCTGTAGTCCTAGCTACTTGGGAGGCTGAGGTGGGAGGATCACTTGAACCTGGGGAGGTCCAAGACTGCAATAAGCTGTGATCAGGCCACTGCAATCCTGTCTGGGTGGCAGAGTTAGACCGTGTCTCAAAAAAAAAAAAATTAGCTGAGCATGGTGGCATGCGCATGTAGTCCCAGCTACACCAGAAAACAGAAGCTGAGGTGAGAGGATCCCTTAAGCCCAGGAGTTGGGGACTGCAGTATGCCATGATCATGCCACTGCACTCCAGCCTGGCAACAGAGCAAGACCCTGACTCTAACAGTAATTAAAGATAGATAGATAGATAGTTGGCAGGGACAGAGAAAGTTTCTTGAAACTGACCCTGGCTCCCTCAAGCCTCCAGCCTGGTGTCAGGGAGCAAATAGTCCACCTACTTGGGGGCAAACCTCCCCCTAGAGCAACTGGGGGCGGTGCTTTCACTCACCACCAGGTGGCAGGGGCAGACTTCCTTCCACCCCTCAGCTCAGTCCCCAAGAGCCATTCTAGAATCTCAATGGTCTGTATCACAGCAATCAGCTCTGAAAATGCTGGCAGCAGGCTTCTTAGAGAGAAATTGAGCACATTCTTGAGAGGAAAGGAGCCATGAGTCAGAGTCATGAAAGGGGGAAACTATAACTGTCCTGTGAAAACACAGCAGAATTTATGACAAAATGCCAGCCTTGCCATACACAAATTATTCTATAAAAAGATGGGGCATGGCCGGGCGCGGTGGCTCAAGCCTGTAATCCCAGCACTTTGGGAGGCCGAGGCGGGTGGATCACGAGGTCAAGAGATCAAGACCATCCTGGTCAACATGGTGAAACCCCGTCTC